CTTTTTTTCTGTGTATATATTTATATACATATATTAAATATAATTTTTACATAGGATTGAAAAACACAAAAAAATGTATAATTTAATGGTTTTATTTATTTTTAATATTTTTATTTAAATTATGATCCCAAAAACAGAACGCCACTGGTGTGGGAACTTGTTTATAAACACCCCTCCCCTTACTCCTTTACCCCTAATCTAAATCGTTCTTGGCAACAAAACATTGTGTATTTACTAAACGTGTTTCAGACATTATTTTCTCTACGACTACGTAAGGATAGTAGCGCTTATATAATTTTAAACAGAGAAAAGAAACCATTCAAACCATTTTGTGCCATCACAATTTTATAATGTAAATTATAATAAATTTAAACAAATGGTATGCCTAAATCTTTATTATAATTAAAAATAGTTATTTACACTAACTAATAAAAAAAATAACATTGTAACAAATACAAAACTAATTTTACAAGTAATCTATGTCAACATCTATTCTTTTTCTACATTTTAAAGGTCTTTTTTTTAACTTTTTGAAGGAATATTCTCGCACAGTATTGCAGAAAAACATCCTTTCTATGATCAAAAATTACACTAGAATGTTACTATTCTTAAGTAGTCGTAGAGAAAAATATTTATTATTTATCTGTCTAAAGTTTATAACTTAATTATCTGTCATGTTTATTAGTTATATTTAAAAAATATATTTCAATAAATAAAGATATTTTAAAATAAAAATATTGGATCAAAATTAATGAAATTCATTTTATCAAAAAGGGCGGCGCATCGAACGGGGCAGCAAGCCTAAATCCGTCACTGTAAGTAAGCATAATATTTTTAATTCTAAATAAAAAGTTTCGTGACAATTTTGTAATACCATACACAAATATGTTGAACATGTTTTTTAATTGAATCTTTTTTTTAATTCGCCAATAATTCTATATTTTTAAACCAAAGTGATATTTTTAATTCGAATGATTTGGACAGCCCTACTTAGAAGGTTGCCTACAAAGGTATATGTAGGCAACCTTATAAGTAGGGCTGTTCAAATCATTCGAATTAAAAAAAAGATTCCATTAAAAAACATGTTCAATATATATATAAATATATTTGTATGTCGTATTAAAAAATTGTCACGAAACTTTTTATTTAGAATTAAAAAAATTAGGCTTACTTAAGAATTCAGATAAATTATCAACTGAAAATTGTTTACAATTTAATTATATACCCGGATCAATAATTTAAATAAACTTAAAATTTTAATGTTATTTCCAGTAGCGGCTGGTGGATTTTGGGTATACCAATATTTCAGTTATTAGACATGGGACCCACACCAAATTTATAATAGTTTATAATGAATAATAATAGACAAGTTCGGCGCAAACAGAATTTAAATTGAAGTTTGCAAAAAAAAGTTAGTTTTTCCTGTCGCCTCACCCGCCTCCAGGCCCCCCTATTTGAGATAATTCAAATTAAAGTGGTGCAATTTATTATCTACTATAATTTATCGACAAATTTAAAATTTTATTTAAAAAATCCAAATATTACAGATTTTATTCGATTTTAAATTTTTATTATTTATTTTATAAAAATACATTTTTATTTAATTAGGAGTTAATTTTTTAAGACATTTTCAATATCGCAAATTAATTTCTGATATCAGATATTGAAAATTAATTTGTGATGTCAAAAATTAATTTATTTAACGCAGTATACTTTTTACAATTATCATGTTAATTTGGAAAATGTCCCATAAAATTACACGGTTTTCTGCGAACAAATTTACATTTTTTTTCTGTTTTTAAATATGATTTAATATTTTTAAATTTCTACTTAACCTACTTTTCTGAATTGATCAATTTTTTTGAACAACTTTAGTAGTTGAATGGTTTAAATATAAAAATATTAAACTAATAAAGCATTGTTAACATTACTAAAAGTCTGAAAATTACAAAAATCAAAATTCCTAAAAATCCAAATTAAAAAAAATATATTTAATTGTTGATAGCCACAACCTAATATAGATAAAAAAACTGTATTCTCATAGAGATTAAAAATAAAAAAACAAACAGTGTCGAAAGTGAATTTTTAGTAGGTATTGAAAAAAAATCACCATGTCACCGATATGTCACAATTTAAAAAATACCAAAAATAAAAAAAATCTCTCGGTTTTTTTGTTATTTATTAAGAAAAATATAATATAAATGGGTCTAATTTTACTTTTTTGGTTATTTTGCAAAAAGTATCAATTTTATCGAAATTCTGTTTTAACAGTGATATAGAATATTAAATTTTCTACAAAAAATGTTATACGCATTTTCTTTGTAATATATATACTTTAGGAGTAATATCCGTACAAAGTTATAAATTTTTTAAAAATCGCATTTGCTGGTTCTTGTAATTGGAATTACATTGACACATAAAAGTGGATAAAGTTTCTACATTATAAAGTAATTTTTTATATATTTTTTATTGTAGAGTGGAAATTAGAAAGGGCCTAAGTGCCAAAAATAAAGTTTTAAGATAATCGAAAAAAACTAAATAAAAGCCAGGTAAGCACCTGCATCCCTCGACATACTCGACCGGCTAGCCGCGGCTGTAAATTGTAATTTTGGCAATTAGAATTTTTCATAGGTTACAAAGCATGGCACAGAGAACCTTTTTATGTAAAAAGCCTTTTCTTATTTCCTCCCTTCAATTATATATAATAATACTTAGAATTAATAATATTTAATTAAGTCGAAAAAACGTAATGTAATGTTTATAATACAATTTTAAAATAACTTTTCTTATTTTAATAAGTAATTTAACTTAATTCTTTGGTTCTTACCACTTAAAATCTTGAAAAACCTTTTTTTCGGGTTTTGACGTTTACATTTTGCTTGGGTAACTATGATTAAAAATTAAATATCCCATAAAATTGTTTAAAAAGTAGATTTTTTATTTCTTTTTACTGATTTTTTTTAATTCTATGCTTCTTTTGTTGATTTTTTCTTAGTCATAAAGTATTACAATCGAAAAAGAGATCAATTTTTAAAAACTTATCTACAGAAAGGCCGACCAACAAATTTTTTTCCCGTTAAATAAAAAAAAATAAGCAAAACATTTGTTTACAAAAACTACGTTTAAAAGATACAGGAAAGCAAATATGGTAATAACCTTTTTTGTAGAAAATTTATTATTCTATATCTTTGTTAAAACAAAATTTTGATAAAATTTATACTTTTTGTAAAATAACCAAAAAAGTCGAGTTAGACCCATTTATATTATATTTTTCTTAATAAATAACAAAAAAACCGAGAGATTTTTTTTATTTTTGGTATTTTTTGTCTATAACAGGCATATAATCGATTTATGAAAAAAAACCGTGGTTGCCTGATGATCCGAAAATTGACCCTAAAAATCCAAAAAAAAATATATATAAATTATTATATCAAAATCAATTTTATTTCTTAAATATTTAAGTGTTTTATATTTTTTGCGTTAAATCTCAAATGGTCATGGAAAGTATGATAAATAGCAGGTAGGTAGAATTCAGTTTAAAAATAAATATTTTGGGTAACCAGATGGTAATACAAAAACCCGAATAGTTTTAAACACATTTAAGGGAACATTCAAATAGACATTACATTTAAACCCCTCTTCAAAATGTGAGAAACAGTTGTGTTTTTGGAGATACTAAGAAGCTTTAATCTTTATAGTATTATTTTACTCTTAATACATATTAATTAATTTAAATTATGAATTGATAACTAAAGTTCCTGATGCCACAAATATAAAAATTAAGTAATTTATTTTAATAAATTACATGTAGTTAATTTCATATTAAATTAGTCGTCGATTAAATATTTAAATTTTAGGTTAGTAATCCTTGGGGGCAAACCATGGGGTCGCCCCAACTCCGCTCTTGGTTGGGCCCCGCGCTCGTAAGCTTGTAAACGTGTTAGCGACTTTTCCTATTGTTGAAGTTTTATACGAAGGCTCCTCCTGGATAACATACTTATTTTGCGTTGGTAAAGTTCAATTTGCCTATAGGTAATAACGTGAAGTCTTCTTTTTATTTTTGAAATAACTGCAACAGTTAATACGTAAGGGTCCCGCCTAAAATCTTTGCCCCAGGCTCTGCAAAACCTGGACGAGCCTGAATAATATGTCGAAATTATATACCTATTCTGTTTTACTCCAATAGGTACCTACACTAAGAAAATTAATATCCCAAAAAGATCACGACAAAAACTGGTAGCGGGAAGTTATTTTTTATGCTTTCGTAATTATTTTCCCGAGAATAGCTTTGTTGTCATTTTTAATTAAAAACAAATTAAATGAACATTAAATTTGTCCTACATTATCTGAATTTTCTTGTAGGATTATAAAAATACAAACCTTTTAGAAGCTAAATGTGAAAAAAAAATGTGATCTGTATTGTGTAATTTTTTTAGCGCGGTGTAAGCGTGGTGATGCGTTGCAATGAACGCTTTGATAGGGATCGCATTTTGTATTCGTGCTAAAATTAACAATAATTGGAAACAATATCACAGAGTTTAAAAACTTAAGTTTGAACGTTTTTAAGATTTATTATGACCCATATATAGCTTATAGGCTATGGGCCATAGCTACATTACCAGATCTTCGGTTAAAATATTTGATTAAAAAATGTATACAAATTTAAATGTTTGTAAAACGCGAACCGACAAAATACAATTTTCGATCTGTGTTATAAGTGGCAAAATTATTTTTTTTAAAAATGTTTTACACTATTTTTTATTCTTAAATATCAATTTTTATTATTTTTAACTGTTCTTCCTAGAAACGAATGTTTATTAACTAGGAACAACTATTTTAAAAATTAAAAAACGATACCTATACTACAAAAGTATTCATTTTAAAAGAAGCCTAAATAAAAAGAAATGTTTTGTGCTCAAAATGGTTCAATTAAGGTATGGGTACCTATGTATATACATAAATTCTAAGCAAACATGTTATTGTTAGGAATTGAAACTAACCTGTCCCTGTATAACATTAACATTTAATTCATTGAATGAATTTGCACCAATTAATTTACAATACAGTTCTGGACCTTCTGTATCCACACCACATGTTGCTGAGGCCGTAATATTTTTTCCTTCAGCCAAGTTAAAGTATGGAGGTGTCAGAGTTTCAGATTTCACATGGGTAGCACTAATAATCACCAGTGCAAGCCGGACCCACCGGCGTAACACCCAACTAGTCATCTTGAACGTTGTCTCGCGACTAAATCCCAGACACCCACAGAAATAGGTGGCCCTATATTGTGTATATTTTGACAGAACCTTAAAGACAGGGGCGGATTAAAAACTTTGAAAGACATGACAAGGGGCGATAACTTTGAAAGTTTTTATTTGCAATGTAAAATAAAATAATTACCTATACTTAGTCCAATAATGTTTTCACAACAGGTTACGAATAAAACATTTTTTATATATTACTTCTCTATCAACCTAAATGTCAAAACCTTATTAGAATAATTACACTAGGCAACAAATTTTAACTTTAAAAAAAGGTCCTGGTTAAAAATAGAATTTTGCGATTGTTTATGACTGAAATAGATCCAAAATGTTTTAAAAAAAAATTTCTGAAGTCGGAAATAAAAAATAGGAGCACAGTATTTTGGTACCATTTATTGCATAGATTTGAAAATTTTAGGATGACGTTACTTTTAACTTATATTTCAGCATTCCATGAACAACATATCTGTACATATTGTAAAAATTTAAGGCATGTTTTTTTGATGTTTACTGTTTTTTATCGTTCGAATTATTTTGTTTACTTATTTTTATCGTTATTATTTAACAATTTTTCATTGTATCATGGTGCTGCCCGTATTGTCTAAACGAGAAATTTTTTGGTCGCCGGATTTGCGTCGAGCAGGTGAAAATCTATAGGACTGTGCTATTTTTATTACCGACCTTTTTTATTTACTTATTTTTATCGTTATTATTTAACAATTTTTCTTTGTATCATGGTCCTGCCCGTATCGTCTAAACAAGACTTTGGAAAATTTTTTGGTCGCCGGATTTGCGTCGAGCAGGTGAAAATCTATAGGAGTGTGCTATTTTTATTACCGACATTTTTTATTTACTAATTTTTATCGTTATTATTTAACAATTTTTCTTTGTATCATGGTCCTGCCCGTATCGTCTAAAAGAGACTTCGGAAAATTTTTTGGGCGCCGGATTTGCGTCGAGCAGGTCAAAATCTATAGGACTGAGCTATTTTTATTACCGACCTTTTTTTATTGTTTACTAGTGTTATTTTTATCTTTACTCGTTATATTATTTAAATTTTATTATTGTCAATACACTACTATATAAGATTCCAATTCCCTTTCTTGCTTTTCATAAACATCAATTTCTTAACATATATGTATATGTTATGGCTAATGTGCAAACTTGGATAGTTTATAAACTAGCTTGGATAGTTTATAAACTAGCCAAACTGTCAGCTATTTTAATTGAAAACATATTTTCAACTAAATTAGCGGCTAGTTTACAAAATAACCAAGGATCTTGGCTAATTTACTTGAAAATTATTAGGGAAACTAAAATAGCCTCGAAAATAGCTGGATAGTTTGTATACTATCCAATTCAGTTTGGCTAATATGAAAACCAAAATTTATAGTAACACAAAATAGCCAAGCTTTAGCTAGTTTGTAAACTAACCAACCAATTCTCTGGCTAATTTATTAAAAAAGTGAGGTTACGGCATTGTTTTTCGTTTTGCCGGCTTAATCGGATTTGTTTTGTGCATTTTAACAATTTTAAAATGAATCATAGGCAAAATTTTAACGCTTCCTTGTTAGAAAACTCAACAACACAACCCTACCGACCCCGCCCCATTGGTCAAATGGTCAAAAATGAGAGAAAAAACCCAAACCAACCCAAACTCAACAACACAACCCAACCGACCCCCGCCCCATTGCCCCCCCCCCCCCGCCCCATTCAGCAAAAAACCCAACTAAAATGGGCAATAGCCAGAGAATTAGTTGGTTAGTTTACAAACTAGCTAAAGCTTGGCTATTTTGTGTTAATAGAAATTTTGGTTTTCATATTAGCCAAATTGAATTGGATAGTATACAAACCATCCAGCTATTTTAGTTTCCCTAATAATTTCAAGTAAATTAGCCAAGATCCTTGGTTATTTTGTAAACTAGCCGCTAATTTAGTTGAAAATACATTTTCAATTAAAATAGCTGACAGTTTGGCTAGTTTATAAACTATCCAGCTAGTTTATAAACTATCCAAGTTTGCACATTAGCCGTAACATATATAAACAATAAATAGTTTGTAGTATTTGCTTTTATATATTGGGGAAAAGGATTATAAGGTAACAAAATTTAACTAAATATCTCATAAACAAAAACATGTTCATATAGGTATTCTTTTTTAAGTATGTAATCTTTTTAAATATAAAATTCAAATTATAAAATTATAATGTCTTTTTTCATTTTTTAAGTATGTAATCTTTTTAAATATAAAATTCAAATTATAAAATTATAATGTCTTTTTTCATTTTTTCAAAACGATCCAAAGCTTTATCAATATTTAACTAGACTTTAGTACCTACATCAGTGATGCATCATCATCCCATGGGCACAAGATGCGAAAGATTATTAATCAAAGGATGTTGGGGGCGGACGTTCACTCTAGAATCTAGAGCGCACAAGATGCGAAATCATTGCGATTGTAATAAAATAGGGCTTTTATTATGCCACACTTTAAAACCAATCCACAGAGGGCAACTTGCATTCATAAATTATATTTGTAGTATTTGTTTTCTTAGGCCCTTGTGTTTAAGGCTATTCCGTTTCGCATATTATCCCATATAACAAGAAAATATACATAGGATTTAAGCTTATAAGCAATTAACACTTAACAATTAATTGTCATAGTTACAATTATGTCAACAATTGTAACTTTAACAGTTAGCTGTCTAATAAATTTAAAGGTAGGTAAATATAGGGTGGGTTCGCCAGTAAGCCGGCCACCACCAGTAGTCGGCCACTAGCAACTTTATTCGCAAATAACTTGAATTAGGCGCCAGTTTTGAGCAATCTTCCTTTATGTACCTATTATCTTGTCATATTTGTATAGCTAAATGTCAATTTCGCTTAACCTAAAAAACTCCTGTCATATATAATTCCCGCGCAAAATTCACACTGTCGCTGATACGAGTGTTCCACCTGCCGAAACTTTGATTAGAACAGCATGCCAGAAAATTAAAACGGAAGTTATTTTCTATAAGTCAATAATTAAAGAACTTTGGTGGATTGTTATGAAAGAATATACATTAAAATACCTAATATTTGGTTTAAAAACCGTAATTTCGTAATTTTTAGGTTTAAAATTTAATGGCCAATCACTAGCATGTGAATTTAACAGAGTAGCTAGTGGTCGGCCTATGAGGCCGACTACTGGTGCATTGATAAAAATATTTACTTGTCTTTATCTTAATTATCTAATTTTGTATATTTTTTCTCTTACAAAACTTATGTTCTATCAAATAAGCAGATTTTCTGTACCAATAGTCGGCCGGAGGTAGAAGTGAAAATAAAAATGTTACGGAAGTTTTAAATTGATGGCCGACTATTGGAGTGGGCATCGAATGCTATTTTTGATAGTAGTCGGCCGCAGTGGCGGCTCTACCTAAGGTTTGCAGGTTTGCACAACCCCCAAAAAAATCACCCAAGAAGAAAGAAATAAATTATGATTATAATAATATCATCGATATATATTTTTTTTATTTTCTTAGTAACTTTCTTGTTATAACACTATAGTTTCCAAGCAAATAATTAAATTTCCCGCTTGGCGCTTCGTATCGGTTCATTGATCGATGCCCGAATACCACGCCATCTAGTGTATAATTGTTGAGGCTAACGGGTTTGTTTTAAGGTCGCAAACCATTACAGGCTTTCGAATGGGCGTGTTGGGACCACGTGATTAAATTACGTTCAATATCATTGGTTTAATTAGATCGAAAGTGGTTGCAGGACAAATGCAACATTTAGTGTGAATCGTGTTACGTATTTTTGCCGGGCCGCGTTAACATTTCCGCTGCGTTTTTATTATTGTTTGTATGTATTTCTTATAATAATAATGATTAATTCAGTTGAAAGTTTATTAGAAAATCCGTTCGGTAGTCGGTCGATCGATATGAAGAGGCTTGGAAGACCTACTCCAAATTTAAACATCGTTCAATGTGTGTCCAGTAAAAGCCGGTCTTTTACTAAAAAATTTAATTTAGATATACATATATAATAAACAATATATTAACTTAAAACTCTAATAGTAATTAATATTTTAAATTTAAATTTTATATTTTTATAATTTAAATTTTTATGATCCAATTTATTTTTTAAAGCGATCTTGGCTTTGCACATCTCTTAATATCTACACCTATACATATGGGTGCAACCCCAGATTTTTTAGGTCACGAGCCGCCACTGGTCGGCCGTATGATTTTGAGCCACTTTTAGAACCATTTTTCGACTTAATATTTGAAATTATCCACTTTCAGTCTAATTTTGAAAATGAAACGAAAGTTCCACCTATTGGTCGGTATATTTACCGACGAAAATTTGCAAAAGGCCATCGAAGCGATGTACAATGGGATCACAATAAGGGAATCTTGTCGAAGATACAGCATTCCCAGGGCAACACTACAGGACCGGATCAAGGCGCGAATTGCTAATAAGCCAAGGCAAATAGGCCCAGACTCATATTTGAGCGCCGAAAATGAGAAAAAAGTGGTCAACTGGATAATCAATTTGACGAAATGTGGATTTCCCGTTAAAAAGTGTAAATTAATTTCTACGATACAAAAGATTGTCTTGGATCAGAAAATAAAAACTCCATTTAAAGACGGGAAAACTAGCCAAAAATGGTATTCGTCATTCCTTCATAGACATCCACAAATTTTCACCCGAACTTCTGAGTCAATAGACAAGTCTCGTGCAAAATTTACGGAAGAATATATCAATTTTCTATAATTATTTAATTTTGTATCTACAAACTTATAAAAAACTTCCCGCAGAAGCTTCAACTTTACATATGGCACAAAAATGCCATACGGACCTGGCGAAAATACATTATAAATGCCACGGCCGACAACTGGTATAGATATGGCCGACTAATAGAGTATTACCGGCCGACTACTAGCAAAAGTGTTTGTTTTTGGAATTTATTTAAAGGGATAA